GCGCTTCAAGAGCTGACCTGCGTCTGACCTCAAAGTGCACGAGCTTCAAACTTCAGCGTTGGCTGTGATTTTGAAGCTGAAATCGCGTTCGGTGTGAACGCAGCACCAGTCAAACATGACACTTTAATCCTGATATTCTGGCCTGGAGTTAAACGTGTTCTCTATGATCTCTCACTGCCCATCATGATTGATGGAAGAGATGGTTTGATCTTCCTCCTCCTCCTCTCTCTCCTCTTTGCTCCTGCTCTACATCCATTGTGCCTCCTTTTCAACTCAGCTGGGATTCTGACCTATAATCAGCTGCCCCTTGTTATAACAAACCAGCATGTTGCTATGGGAACGCATCATAACAAAAAACTCCTTCCAGCTGCACAGCATCTAACAGCAGAGGGAATAATCCTCCAAAACAACTTTTATACAGAAAAAGAGGAATGAATAAAGTTTTAAAAGAATATCTCAGTATGAATATAACAGAGCTGTGCTGCCCTCGTGAGCCGTGCAGAGACCACAGAGGGGGCAGGTGTTCCCAGGTGTTCCCAGGTGTTCCCAGGTGTTCCAGCCCCCCCAGCCCTGGCCCTGTGGCACCGTGAGCGAATTTACAATCATATTCTACAACATGAGCCCTGAAGTCCTTATCATGGTTTTATTCTGTGACTGATAATAAAAATCACAGATTATTATAGAAATTTAACATTTTCAGTGACTGAATCACTGAAAGTTTTGTGAAAAAACAAATTAACGTCTTTCAAGTGGCAGAAAAATAATTTATAACCATTTTTACTGTGTAGTAAATAAACAAACTCATCAGATAAAATCATTTAAAATGGTTGTTATTATTAACACTGTTTTTTTTGTTTATTTCTATTTTAAATGTACAGATTTACTTCCGACGTCACCTGGGTAATCAGCCAATCAGCTCTATGATTTGACGCTGTACGTCACAGAGACTGACACAAAGCGCGCGTGTTTTYTGTTCCGGACAGTCACAGAGGGGCGGGGTAATTCCCTTTCAAACTAGTTTTCTTGGACTCCGCTCACCAGTATTGTCCAAGAACCATAAAACAAACGCGCAGTGAATTTAAAACCTTACTCTGGTAGCCAATCAGCGCCTCTCTACAACCGTCTCGCGCTTGTGTTGTCCAATCAGCAGCGCGCTCTCCTTTGTTGTTGGTGATGACGTGAAATGTTGTTGTTTGTGTTGAGGCTGCGGCAGGACTCGTTGCTTCGAGTGAAGCTTTTGTTCTTGTGTTATTTTTGTTGTTGTGTTGTGTTGTGTTGTGTTGTGTCATGTCGGTGAACATGGACGAGCTGAGACATCAGGTGATGATCAACCAGTTTGTTTTAACGGCCGGCTGCACCGCTGATCAGGCGAAGCAGCTCCTCCAGGCGGCCCACTGGCAGTTCGAGGTGAGTCCGAACCGAACCGAACCGAACCGAACCGAACCGTGCCGCTTCCTGTCTCATCCTTCCAGTGAATATTTCTGAGCTGTTAGCAGGTGCAGCTGAACATCTTTGGGACATTTGAGCTATTTCCGGTCCTCCGGCAGTTAGCATTAGCAGCTAGCTGCTGTGTTTACATTCCGACAGGCTGATCTAATGACAASTGTCCAACTGTTACTGGACCGGAACCAGTTTGGATCAGAGGCCAGTCTGAGCTGATGTTGGACTTATTATCAGCTGATCCAGTCAAGTTTCTCATTTTAAACATGTAAACAAGTTGGACCGGTTCTGATCTGGGCTCAGCACAGTTATCATGGCTGAGGTTAGATTAGTTCCACCAGAACCAGGACCAGAACCAGGACCAGGACCAGAACTGAGGATCAGGAGCTCTGAGTCCAAACCTCGTATCATGAAACTAAGGCTTGAACCCAAACCTTCAGAACCGGTCCTTCTGAAACCTGAAGAACAGCTGAAGTGTTGGAGGTTCAGCAGGACTTTACTTCATGCAGACACTTCCTGGACATGAAAGGTCACTGATGTTTGGTTGGACCTTCAGCTGGAGCTTTGAGACAGGAGTGAAGAAGGTGTTTCTGTGAACTGAACCGTGTCAGGTGGCAGTCAGACCCTGATCTGGTCCATTTAAAGGGTCTGATTGTGTTTCTGCAGATGGTTCTGTGGGAACGTGTTTGAAGAGCAGAACACACCTTGACTGGTTTGTCTAAACGTGTTCTTCAGCTGACTTCAGACCTGCTTTGTTAATCTGCAGGAGATCCGACTCCTTCAGCTTTGAGTCTTTAAGGGTCCACTTGTTGCTCAGCTGACAATGTGTTCAACATCCCAGTTTGAGGGTCCTCTGAGCAGCTTTGGGCTGAAAGCAAACTGTTTCTGACACACATGTGCAGCTTCATGTCACATTTTCCTCTTGTTGGTGAACTTAGTCATTTATTTGTTCACCATGCTGTTGTTCTGCGGTGACGAATCATTGGAGCCTGAATAGTGAAGGCTGCTGCTGCCATCATGCAGATGAAGGAACTCTCCACACATTACTGATAAATAAGACKAAACAAGACTTCATTAATCCCAGGAGGGAGGCAGGTTTGTTACAACAGGTTCAGTAGAATCAGAATAATTCAAAGAAGCAACATTTTGAAAATAAGTAATATTGTAAAAGTAAAATTTCAAGCTGAGGTGAAGAATAAATCAGAATCACAGATCAGGTTTTGGTTGTAAAATACATCCCAGAACCTGCACCCACAAAGCTTCCTGAAATCCATTATTAAAAATGGAAAGATGGCACCTCCTCAGCAGGGGTAGGGTTAGGTTGTCTTAGACAACCTGTTGTTGTTTCAGACAACCAGATCCTGTCTCCTGACAGCCAAGAACAAAAGACCTTGATTAAAGTTCTCTGTGGGTGTTCATCATTTGTAAAAATGAAAGGGAGAAAAAACTTAGTTAAACCGAACAGAACACCAAACTGTAACTTTTAATAAGGTCATGTACACAGGATACTCCTGTTTAAGTGAAAATGTTTGAYCTGTGAGCAGAAAAAGTTTATGAATGTTGAACTCTGTTTTAAAGAAGAGAAAGAGGAAGTTTTATTCACACAGATCCTGTCAACCTGCTGACTGACAACAGTTATTTATAAGAAACTTTGTCTACACAACAATATACTTGTTAAATTACATTTTTCTTGAGATTATTTTGGACAACCAAAATGTTTTGCAGACAACCAGGTTTTGTCAACAAGTTGTCCACTGGACAACCTGAAAAATGTCCTTATGTCTGCCCCTGCTCAGTAAACCTGCCTAAACCCACAGAACAGGTAGGGAGGACAACAGTAACCTTGGTGTAAAGGGACTCAGACCTTTAGCCCATCAAGGACAACACTGAGTCAGTGCCCTGAGATAATGGATTTTGTGACTTGGCACTATATAAATGAATTTAATTTAATTTAATTTAATTTAATTGAACACAGTCTGAGGGACATTTGCCACCTCTCATCACCCTGAGAACAACATCCCTACAATGAAGCATGGTGGTGGCAAGATCATTCTAGAATTCTAGAATTGCACCTGGTCCAAGCACTGAACCCTGAGGAACTCCATGA